TGTGTAAAAGGGGACGGGGAGGCTTGTTGTCCCCTCACACTCCAAGGACAGTGAGGGGGGGTGGTGGAGGTAGGGGGGTTAGGAGCACTGATTGAGAGCAACACCTGTCAGGTGAGGCTTTTGCAGCTGATGGCGCAGAAAGAGCTCCAAGTCGACTGCTATGACTGCTAATCTCTGACGTGGCAACCTGCCGGGCTCTGCCGCACTCCTGAGGGGGAACACCAGGAGCCCAAGCACCGAGGCTTTTCCAGGGCTGCAGTCTTGCTAATGTCTCCCTGAGCAGAGTGAACCACGCTGATATGCTCTAAATACATTTCATTATCATCATCATGATTATATCACTAATTGTGTGTACTCGGTAATGTGCTGCAGCAGCCCCCTCCTGGGAGGTGTCTGAGAGACTGAATGATTAAAACATGTATGATGAACCATGCATCAAAGTGTCCCTGCGGGCTTCCTCACAAGATACATGTAAGCGGCTCCAGTGACACTCTGAGTGAGCAAACAGCTCAGGATGTGGTCTACTGAGGGTTGAAAGGCTGAGGAGGAAGCTGCAGGCGATAACAATACAGCAGGTGGATATTACAGATGCAGGGGATTGACCTAAACTGACCTCATCTATATCCATAAGCCCACACAACATAACCTACATACCCTCAGACATGACTGCAGCACAGCCTAAATAATTCCACCACAACACTCGGAGTAAACCTGAGGCTGAGGTTCAAACATGGCTGGGCTACTTTGGCCTGCACAGAGGACTGTTTCCATCCTAATGCGCGCTTCACAGGAGAGGATAAAGTTTTTGTGACAGCATTTGATGAATGTTTAATCCAACATTCATACATCCCAGTCTGGGATTGGGTCCCCAGTCAAAACCCACCAAAGACACACAGCAGGTACGTGAAATATTCATTCACTACACGCTTCATTAAGAATGAAACATACCGTGGTCCTCGTTCATTTATTCATTCCGATTATCGAAACAAAAGACAGAAAAATGAGAGATTAAAACATGGTGGGCGAGCTATTCTATATTTGTCTCACAGATTTGTAACAATTTGTTTTGTGACAAATAACTCTGCCTGTTGAAATCCCGCTGTCATCTTGCTGAGAGTCAGGCAACTACAGCGAGAGGAGCTTTCATGTGAGCGCAGTAACAAATCACTGTCTGCCAGGGGATCTCCAGCTCTGCATCCCACTGCAGCAGCTTGACCTTTGACCTGTCCAGGAGCGTCCAGTGACTCATCCCATGAAGCACGCTGATAAATATGGGAGCCATCAGCTGTGAAAGGACAGACTTCATATTTCCATTAATTAAACAGGAAATATTACAATTAATGATCTGTCTTTGTGAGGATGAAATGAATGATGTCGGCCCTGTCAGTGTCAGCTCAGTCTTTTGTCTCTCTGAGCGGTGAATATGTCACTGTTGAGTGTCAGTGTCGTTTAAACACAGACCTACCGTCACTGAGTGGATGTGTCACATAGATTACACAATTTCCCCATGGAGATCATTAAAGTTTCATCTAATTTAATCTAATTAAAACAACGATGTGCAAGTCCTGACACGCTGTCCAAGGCTGCGTGTGCTGTTTTCTTCTTAGACATTATGGCTTTGCAAAATTAAAACAGGCTCTGTATTAAATAGATAATCATATGTTTTTAGTGTCCATTTTAAATAAAACAACCATTTTTGAAGAAAGATGAGAGCGCCAAGAAGATATTCATGACTTCCAAGGGGTCGATTTATGATGGAATTGGTGATTTATTCACACTTAATTATATGTCTTCAGTTATACATGTTCCAAGTCAGCCTGTTGTAATATAATGATATAACAGTAACAGTCTTTCAAAAATAAAAAAGGAGTATTGTGCTAAAGAATAACATATGGTAATACCTCATGACTTACTGGCTTGCAGTAGTGGGTTTTAATTTGGTTTATGTCTGAAGAGATTACAGATGAAGGTGAGTTACTCAACATACACTCAGAAAGTCTCTTCACTGGTTTGGAGTTTGGTAGTTTGTTGATAATGTATATAAGACAGGATCATACTTCAATAAGATGTTTCTGTCACAGGACTTTGAACATCATGGATGATCAATCAATCTTTATCTATGTAACACCAATTCATAACGAATGATTTGTCTCAATAACTGTCCCAATACAATTTAGAATGTGCTATGATAACATGCATGTAAGTCAGCTGTATTAGTCTATGCAGTAACATGTCACTGCATCCTTGTCTTGCCTTTACTTAATTCAACATATAGTGTTGTATTTTTTCTACATTTTCCACAAGAGTCTCGATAATATGAGCATAATAACTGCAGTGAAAATTTGCCCTAATTCAAAGTAAAAATATAATATTTAAAGCGTCTGTGAGGAATGTTTTGTTTGTATTGATTTTGGCACCCCCATTCGAAAAAACAGGACCTGTTACAGCTTTGCTGGTTTTGTTTTGTATGTGTTGAAGAAGTTCTCTCTGACAAAAATATCCTGCTTTCTTTAAACAGTGAAATACTGTATATCACTTTTTGTTAGTACTTAATGTGAAACAATTCAAAAGGATTTTTTTTGCCGGTCTGACACTCCCCCACGGTAGTTACAGGCAATGAAAACTGCAACATGTAAATCTTGTCATTAATAGCATTGTTTGTTTTTGTAGTTCAAATAGAGACATCATTATAAATCTGTTTCAGTCAAAATTTCCTTACAGGTGCTTCATGGAGAGGATCAATGAAAGAGAGCAACATTTTTGATGCCCTGTTGATGTGGGGACTCTTGTGTATTCTGGTTAATGTGTGTGAGTTTCAACACAGTGTAAAAAAAACAAATTTCCCTGCCTTGACCAATCAATGAAATTGAAAATGATCAAGAAAGAAATGTGCAAACATTGCTATTTCAATGCAAACATCATACTGTGAACACACACATAAAAGGTTTTAAAATTAGAATTCATCTGGAGTGATACTGTTTGTATATCTCCAAAACTTTGTGCTCATTTGGTTTATTTAATCTTTATAAGACACAAAATATTTCTATGTGTATTTTGAGAAAAGAGTTGGTTTATTTTAAAGTTTAAATATAAAAACAGACCCTCAATGAAAAAGGAAATGCAAAAGGCAATAATGCCAACAGTGACAGTGTGTGGGGGTTATTACGACACTCATTAATAAAACTGAACAAGGTAATTGATTGTAATTACAGCAGATACATGCTGACAGCCTGTCGTGGGTATGCTGCTGATTGATTGGCACTCGAGTGAAGCGGAGAGTTCAAAGGACAACATATCTGAGATGAGAGACAATATTTTCACATTTGATCTGGTGATAATATCCTGATGGTAACAATCACCTTCTGAATATGAATGATACTCTTATGTATATCATTATTATAATGCTTATACTTGCTTTTCAAGGAACATGAAACACTCGGGTGGCCACTACATTATTTATCTGCTCTTCACTTCAAATGTGCATGTCATACTCTCAGATATTGTGTTCTTGTTTGTCGCTGTGCCTGTTTTTGGTTTTGATATACATTCATGTTTCAGCACAACAGGAAAACTTTAAACCCTTTTAACTTCAGAAGGATATGATCCAAAGAAAACCAGGTGTGTGTAATTGAATCACTCCTACATGATTACTGATAATCACCTTCATCTTATGTGCAAGTGATGGAACCAAGCTTTGGCCATAAATCAAAACAATTAGGAATTAAAAGTGACACAATAATGTCATAAATAATGTATCCCTTGTCTTGAACAGTGCCCCCTTTAAACTAAGCCATGTTTGTAAGTATCTTTGTACTCTTTTTGTGCCCCCATATTAATATCTGGGATTGGGCTGAAGCGCTGAAACATAGGTGTAACTTAACTTTTATTCTGTGCCTACAAACACAAGTATTGGGTACCAAACGTGGACATTTTAGTTCATGCAATTCATTAATCTTGAATTTTGGAATGTTTCAGTCAAGGGCTATCAAGTCCAAGCTTGGGGAAAAAATATGGGTAGAGCCTAAAAATAGGTGTTTTAAAGGGATATTCCGGTATAAAATTAAGTTAAGGTCAAACACACCATAACACTGAGTTAGACACCCCGTCGAGAGATGAATGTTGCCGACCGCTTGCTTCTCTAGTTATACCAACTTAAGTAAAGACCGAAAGAAAACAATGCAGAGAGTCAATCAAAATGCCACTCTATAACCACAAATAATGCTCAGTACAGCACCTAACTTCATCAACAGTACTTATAGGGTCATATTAATCATTTTGCACTGCAGACACGGTAGTTCTTCTGCTCAAACGTCTCAGCTAGATTGCATTTCCATGAGGAAATGATGATAAAGGCTCTTCCTTGAGCTGCGTCACCTCCCTGCTGTCGATGGACTCACCCGGAGGTCTCCGTACAAACAAGCAGCTGCTGGAAGAGAGTGGGCCAGTTGTGTTTGGTGTCTTTGCTAAAGAAATTAGGCAAACTTAAAAAGATGTCTGATGGCTAGTGCTATGGCTGGGACCCTATATGTACTGTTGATGAAGTTAGGTGCTGTTTTGAGCATTATTTGTTGCTATAGAGTGGCTTTTTGGTTGAGTGCGTGGCTCTCTGTATTGCTATCTGCGGCCGTAACTGAAGTTGGTATAACTAGAGAAACAAGCAGTCAGCAAAATTCATCTCTAGGCGGGGTGTCTAACTCGGTGTTACAGTGTGTTTGACCTTCACTTAATTTTACACTGAAATATCCCTTTAATCAGATTTCTTTCCAGTATTACTCACTATTTTCTACTCCATATCATATGTTGTATGATATTAACTTCACCAAGTGCATAATTCGGAGTTGTTAAATCCTTATCAGAGCACTAAACTTATACACTTACCCGGAGGTCGTCTTGAGGTCTTCTTTGAGACTGTGGTTGTGGAGTTTGGGATTTAATATTCAATAATTAACGCCATGGAGGAAGTCCCGCCCATCTTTTGTGTCCCGCTCTGCGTGCCCGTTACGTCACTTCCACCGGAAAACATGGCGGCTGCCAGTCCGTCAGATGCAGCTAATTCACTGCCAAAGGATGTCGTTATCAAGACCGAGCCAGAAACCGAGAGCGATCTACTCATCACCCCGGAGGATGCAACGCTCAAGCGGGACCCCGTCGTCCTGCTCTCGTCCCCGGTCAGCGGGTTACAGCCTCTCTCCTGGTCTCAGGACCACCGCCTGGCCGTCTGCACCAGCAGCTCTCTGTCTGTGATGGAGCTGGTGTGCGACGTTCACAGCAATAAACAGGACCTGACTCTGCACAGGACCTCCATCCCTGTACCCAGCGACGTCTACAAACTGCGGGTAAATACAAATCAAAGCTTTAGCATCTAGCAGCAGAGGGAAAATGATAAAAGTAAGAAAACAAGTGTAAATAAGCGAGAAAACATTTAAAAACCTGAGTGTAAACAGCTGGTTTAGGGCACCGAAATTATTCACACTGTAGATAATGAACCCGAGGTCAGGAGAAATCATTTAAAGTTTCTTATTTTTGCATCAAAGTGATCCCCAAAATTTGTTGAGCACATCAAATAAGAGGCTTCAACTCTATTTTTATTTTCTCAGCCTCACCTGGAGTCATGAAAGGATGATGTAACTGATGTAAAGTCAATATCTGCTGCAAACTGTCGACCTACTGCCATATCAAAACTGAAATTTAAATGCTGAAGCATATTAAACAGGTATGAGACAGGATCTATCAGTAAATTTAGTCTGATGAAAGAAAACCTTTTAGATCCCCTCCAGACATGATTTACTTAGCCTCTGCTTTGAACAATAATTTAGGGCAGACTAAGAGTTTCCATTTATAAATCATTTCACAACATCCTCTTCTTCCCCTTTATTGAATAATGTAGATTTAATGCACATGAAAATATATATTCTGAATTTGAAAGTCGCTAAAAAGTTTAATCTTATATGACAAGATGGTCCCACCTGATGCCATTATCCCAACAGTTATAAACAGTCATTTTATGTATTAATAGCACTAATAAAACTGTTTTACAAACTGTTATTGTCTATAAAACTCAAACACATGGTGATGAGTTCTCCTGCACACACAGAGAGTATACTAACTTTCTTAATTTCTTTTCAGTATCCCTGACAAGTCCCCCTCCAGATTCTTGCTTTTGAGAAATAGAAATATGCAGTGTTAAAATAATTCTGTCAGCCCTTTAATGCAACTGTTGGTTTATTTAATTGCATTTATAGAGGGGTGGATAGAGGAGAGAGGCTGCAGGCTGGGCTCAAACTCCGGCTTGTGTTAAAATGCATGCGTGTTCCCATAAACAAAAGGTTCAGCCGTTGTTGCAGTGGTTGCTAGTTGAATGCCATATTGTTTTACTCCCTGCTCTCTACAGCTTTCCCATTAATTAAAATAAAACACTCTTCAAGGAAAATCTCAGAAACATGAACAAAAAACATGTAGGTGATGACAAAATAAAACCAGCCTGATTGTAGAAGTAGCATGTTACCACTATTTATCTACTTGTAAATCAACTTGTGCTTAACACCGCTAAGCTGCTCCTCACTGTCTGCTATTAGTTTGGCTCTGGCTGATATTAAAGAGGACAAATGTTGATAAAAAAGGAAACAGAAAAACAATTTGGCGGTCGTAAATGTGTCTCTGAGCATCTGCTCTGACGTGTAAACAGGATTGTTTAAAGGTTCGTCTCTACTCCAAAAATCCACTTGGCAGATAAAATACTGGCTGGAGCTGGATTTTATAATCCACTAAGCACAGTGGCAGACAGGCAGAGACTGATTCCTGCTGTCATTTGGAGATACGATTAAGTGCTTGTAAAAAGGAGAGATACGGAGCTGGAAGTAATAGACAGTGGCATCGAGCATGATATGATTTGAGACACCGCTAAACCGCTTCACCGAAATTTCAGTGTTCCTACCGTGACTTTGCCTGTTCATTAGACTTCTTTCTTACTTTTACCTGCACAGTAGAAAAAAAAAGTTTCAAGCATGACCAAGTCACCCAGGCCTCCATCTTACAGGTAAAAATGAACATGCTGTGTCAGAAAAAAGAGATTTTCTTTTGGACTAATGCTCCACCTCTGATATTTCTTTTATTTGTGTTTTTAACTCAAAGGTTGGACCGGTGTCGGAGCTAGAAGAAGCGATGGACAAGTTCTCCGCACATCCAGACCTAACAATAAGACAGGACTTTATGGCTGACAGAGTGATAAACCCATCGATAGGAGCGCACAAAGGAATCAAATACGCCAGCTGGTCTCCGTTGGGCTGTGACTCTAGCGGGCGTTGCCTGCTTGCTTGCCTAACACTCGAACACAGACTTACGATTCATAACAGCCACAAACGTCTGGAGTGGAACCTGTTAGTGGATCTTTCCAAAAAGTACGGTGATAGGCTAAAGGGGCGACGCTACGCCAAAAAAGACAATAAGCCTCCAGTGGCAGGCCTGTTGGACTACGGGGAGCTGCAGAGGCGTTTCCGTATGCAGACTCCTCTGAGGATGGAGTGGTCGAGTGTTTACACAATAAAACAGGTTCAGGCAGACAACACATGCTTAGATGTGGAGATGGTCCTCCTCGCTGTCTTAATGGAGAACGGGGACATCGTTTTGTGGAAGTTTGTACTGCCCTTTTTGGACGGGGCTGACGTCATGTTTTATGATGTCATCGAATCAGGTGTGGACAGGCCCAGTGACTTGGCGTGGTGGGAGTATGAGAGCGCAGATCGTCGTATGAGCGGCTTGATCATCGGCAGCGAGGTGGGACCTGTCAAGATCATGCCGGTCAGCCTGTCGGGAGTGAAGGGCTACTTCACCCTGCGTCACCCCGTCATCCTGTGGAAGGAGTGCGACGAGATCGCGGTGGAGAACATCAAATGCGTCCCGATGATCCACCCGATCCAAAAATCAAGCTGCAGTCTCATCGTGGCCTCACGGGGCTGCTACGTCTTCTGGTGTCTGCTCATGATTTCACCCGCCGGACTGAACGTCCACAACTCTCACGTGGCCGGGCTGCACTCACTCCCTGTGGTATCGCTCGCGGTCAGTCAACATGGCGTCGCTGTGTACACCTGCTCCATGGATGGGTGGATTAAAAAGCTGACACCGACATTCACAGAGAGCACCGTGATTTTCAAACAAGAGGACATGCTACAACCTGAGAACCTCACAGGAAGGAGGATCAGTGGGATCGCAGTGAGCCATAACGGTGCTTATATTGCACTCTGCAGCACGCCAGGTATGGTGGACAGCTTTCATCCAGTATCCAGGAACTACCAGGTTCACTATGTTACCCTGAAAACACCAGAAGAGGCGGCGGCACTGCTGCTGAAGTCTCCTTCACAAAGCCTGTACAAAATGGCTGACTTGCTCGATCTCGTCAGGTGGCAAATTTTGAAAAACCAGTGCATTCCTGCGTCACTGCAGGAGAAAATCGACCAAAAGATCCAGGAAGCAGACTCTCTTTACTTTTGGCGGTTCAAGCTCTTTTTGGTGCGGATACTTCACCAGTCACTACAGAAGCCTGAGACAAACAACCGCTGGAAACCTTCACACGACGAGAGCAAAGTGTTTGTGCCAGATGAGCCGGAGGAGGAACAGGAGGACGAGGAGGACGGAGAGGAGGGGGAGGGAAAGGACGGCAACGATAACGCACAAGAAGAAGACGAGCGAGCCGAAGTGAAAAAAGAGAAGGAGGTCAGCCGGGAGGAGCAGATGGAGGAGGTGCAGGCTTGGATCAATGCTGTGGAAACACACCTGATGAGAGAAAACATCAAGAAGGTGCTGGGGGTGGTGTACCTCAACACCTGGATCACTCAGAACACCAGCATCCCCACCTGTGGCCTGATGGAGTATCTCTCCAGAGACACCAGCGACAGAGCTTCAGAGGTAAAACTCAAAGACCAATCAGCTGTTTCTGTTTACTTCACTTTGTGTAACTGTAACTGTTTGAATAAATGTCACGTACTTCCTGAATGAATTATACTTTCTAAGGCTTAAAATTAAACATGCATCGATAAATCGGCCGGCTGATCGATTGGCGCCGATTTCCTCAATTTTGGGGGAGCGATGATCAGCAGATCCTTACACATAAAACCGATTCTATCCACTGATCTTATCTACCTCAGCAAAGGTCAGAAAGTCAGCCGTTGTAGCTTTCTGCTTTTGCCAGGATGACAGGCCCACCCACCAGTTTAGTTTGTCCTGTCGATTATTATTTTACTAACTTCCTCAAACCTTGTGATTTCCTTTATTTGTAAAAGAAAAATACTACTGTGCACTTTATTTTGGTAAGAGGCTCAAAACAGACCTGCAGTGTGACCTGTTGTGCAAGTCTTGTTAATTTTTAAAATGTGGAAAATAAAAGATTAAAGGAACTGATATAATTTAGTAGTTTGGACAGAAATATTCTAAACTTTTTCATTTATATTTGAGAGAACTACTTCATGTGCAGTTAAAACAAACACAAAAAGGTTTGTATTGCTCCACAAGTATTGTTCAATGTTTTTCATTATGTAAGATTGGAGCATCAAAGGTCTATGTTTTAAGTTATAAAAACAAGGTGTCGGCCAAAATTGGTGTCGGCAGGTCAAGCTTTTTAAAGATTGGTGATCAATGATCGGTGATCGGCCAGAAAATTGTGTTTGGTGCACCCCTACTTAAAACAACATCAATTCATGTCATAATCTAATGATACTAGGGATGTCACGATACAATATTAATATAGGATATCTGTCTGATATCAGCCAAAAAAACAAATATCGGATTATATCGGCAGCCTGCATCTAAAATCTCCGATATTAACACTCCGATACAAGCAGTCCTTTCCAGACTCCGCTCCGGCACCTGTAGCTAGCAGCACCGGGATCTGGCATGCAGAGCCCACATGGTCACAACAATAGTGTGTACTAAGGTACAAACAAAGTAGCAAGGAGTAGGAGTGATGTCTGCTGTGTGGCGGTATTTTTCATTAAAGTCCAAAAAAGATATTGAAGCTGAGAGCAAAACTTGTCATGCACAAGTTTGTGCCAATATCGGATCAATATTGGTATCCTATTGGAAGTAAAAAAGGGACACCCCTAAATGATACCAACAGAAAAGATAATGGATATAATATGGTCCCTACTCTATTTTGCACTGTGGGCTGGAGAGAAGCCTGCGTATGTCCAACAGAAACTGACAGCTTATCTTGACAAAAAGATTAATCACAACTCTCTAGGATCAAGGTTTTTTTCTGCCTGATTTAAGAAAATAAAAATTAAAAAAATCTTAGCTTCATTTAAAATACTTTGAAAGATAAACAAGCGCAACAAGAGTGGGTAAACTTGGAAAACTCATGGAAGACTTTTAAAAATGTTTCTGTTACTGTCATACAAACCAGGTGAGAGTGAAACCCCTGATCTTTGCGTGTACATGTGCGTGTTTGTTACTCTTCTCAGGTACTTATCGGGCTCATCAAGAAGAAGATGAACAAGCAGTCATTCCCGGAGCACTGCAGCCTGTGTCAGGCCGTGTTGCCTTTCTCAGACCACAAACAAGCTACCTGTCAAAGCGGTCACATGTGGCTCAGGTACAGAATCCCTGTCTTTCGCTATTTTGCATCTTATCCGCTAAATACGGTTTTTATTAGATTTAGCCTCACAATGCTCCGCGGGTTCAGATGTCAGAGTTGAGTCTGACGGGACATGAATTGAATTTTAATGCCAAACGCTTTCTTTGACGGTTTATTTATCCTCACAGAGCTGTAATCAAGCCTCCCACCTTCTGATATTTACACATGCACCAGTCTCATCATCTCATAAATATCCTCTGTCAAACATTTCTGCTGCCTCCTCCGTAGCTGGAGCATACTGCCTCTTGTGGGCATTGAGAGGGAAATCTGTGCCCGTCCCTTGTACCCTGGCTCTGTTTCTGCTCTACTTTTCTAGCTGTCGCTCTATGTGTGGTTAGATGTGTGTGGATGTGCATATCGCTGTCCCTGCCAGCCGCCCCTCTAATGCCTTCCCCCTCGGCCTCCTCCAGGTGTGTGTTGTCATACCGAGCCTGCCAGACGCTGACGTTCAGACGTTGCCTCCTGCTGGATACCATCGCCAGACTGCCAGAGCCCGAGGGTAAGCGCCACTTTCCATCTCTCTCCTCCTACATTTCATAGCCTCACTCTCCGTCAGCCATTCCCTCCTGTCACCTTCAACGTCGGCCTTCATCCTCCTCTGTCGCTCAGATCTGCACCTGAAATTTTGGGTCAAGAATCTGTCAAAACCTCATATTTGAATACATCAGTAATTGTAGAAAACAGAAAGTTTCAGATAGTTTTAGATAATAAAAAAAAGCGTGTAAGCCACAAGTTTTTAGCTGCAGCAAAGGAATAATCTGTTTGTTTAACTTCGCCAACTTTGTCTGATCCAAACTAAGTGCCTTTTGCAAGCGTTTAAGTACGTTTACTTGACTTCCTGCTGTGACCAGGTTTTTGAAAAATCATGTAAACAAGACATTCAGTCTCTACAGTTATGAGAAACTTGTGTGTGAGGAAGTTCCTCCAGGAGAAAGGCGCTTTATCTCTAATTTAACCCACGGCAGCTTTATTATCAGAGTTTCAGAGGCTTGTCAGGCTAAAAGAAAAGATAACACACTTTACGTAGCGGTAACTCCTCTCAGTACGTTCATCCAAAGTCTGCAGAGCAAAATTAAATGTGCTTCAGTGCATCATCCACTCACTTGTGCAGACTCTTTCCTTTCTGTATCTCTGCCTCCAGCCGGCATGTAAGAGCTCTGACTGTCAGCGGATTTAGACGGCTCTCAAAACTCTGCAGATCCTTTTCAATCAGATGAATTTGTCAGCTCATTGAAGCAATTTTAGACCAATACTCAAATATTTAATTGAACTGGAGGCTGAGATAAACGTCAATGTTGGGAATATCTAAAGTTATTTGTCTGATAAATATTTAAATCTGATTTGAGTGCTTCAAATCTTTTACGGTGGCAATGACAGCTGACCTCCATGTTTTAGAGATGGGTATGAGTACGCAACAGTCACTCTTATTTTTAGAATTAGTAATTAAACAATGAACACATTAGACTCTGAGTTCAGATTATAGAGCGCTGTCCTATTGTCCTCTGATGACTGGGTCAGTTTTAGGGATGTCGTGTGGATACTGGCTGATGTGCCGTTTTCGCTCACTTCCCAGGACAGTTCTGCACATGCTTGTGTAACCAGGCACAGCCTAGAAACTGCTTTATTCCCATTTTCCAGAGTAAATACTGCCAAACTACTCTGCACCATGAGATGCCATCTGCCGTGTGGACTTGTTTCCATCCAGATAGTTGAACATTTTGGCAGAAGCCTTTACCGAGCTACAGCTGTGGTGAGTGCTTTGTTGGATGAAGCTGGTGCTCGTGTCCATGACAACAAGGGATATGGTGATGGCTTTTGTATAGAGAAGTTCTATTATATTCAGATTAGGGCTGGGCGATAAACCGAATTTATACAGATATTGAAATTTACGACAATAACCAACCCTTTTTTACCCATGTCAATATATTAGGTGTGTAGGTAGGTTATGGTCTCATGTCCCTTTAAGACACTGTCTTATGTCAGACAGGTGACTCCACCCTATCCAGTCAGTAACAAAGAGGGAAAGACAGGTGAGGAGATGGAGGACGGTTCAGAAGTTGTAGCAGCTGGAGTGGCGGCTGAAGTAGACAGTTAATGTGAGAGGGGGTGAGCAGCTTGTGGAGTAGTTATCGTCTATTTATCGTTATCGAGGTGAACTGCTCAATATATCGTGATATTGATTTTAGGCCATATTGCCCAGCCCTAATTCATATAATTAAATGACATGACTTAAGTAAAATGTCTATCAGTTTAAGAAGTAGAGACACAACGCGGACTCTGCAGCAGGTGGCTTCAACAATAAGCTTCACCTAACGTGCTTAGTCAACGTGACTCTCTTTACAACGACCTTTCACATATGTAGCCTAAAGTGCATCCCTAAAGAACAAAGATTCAAACTATAAATATATGAAAAGAGTAAAACGGCAACATGTCAGAAGTAGGTAAGTAACAGACGGCTGAATAAAGAAGTTCATATGTATCCACCAAGTGTACAGGCAGCATGAATGCCCACATACAGTGAGTGCATAATCAGATCAAACTGCCAGTGAAACCTTTTGGATATTCAGATACCAAGAAGCGAACTGATTTGTTATGAATCCTCGTTAGGAGCGCATAGTTCTTTATTTTCTGGCAGGGGAAAAAAAAAACACAGTTCTCTCTTCAGTGTTTGAGTATCGGCTTTATCTGGCTGCTACATGCATCCCAGGTCTTTATCAGTCTGTCTGAGCGCCTGAGGCACGGCTCTCCTCGTCATTCCAGCCTATCTGAGCTGAAGACTGACAGCTCTGTGCACTTTTGGCATCTGTCAGAATCAACATCATCCCAGCACCTGTCTCAAAACATCTCACAGATCTCTGCGGCTTCTATATTTGGATCGTAAAGCTGGGCTCAGCCAATTATTGTTAGTTTTTACTGTAAAACATCTTTTTCAGATGTGAACGTATATTGCTGTTTTTTTTTTTTATCCATCTGAGGAGATTGTTCCTTAAATGTGTCACAGAGGAAACTCCTATGCTCGCTCAAATTTGATATATGATGACAGAGGAAACAGCTGTAATGATCGGTTCAGAGAGAGGACACAATCCGCCGTGCGCTTCAATAAAACAGTAAAGAGGGTTAACAACAACAGATGTCGTTGAGTGTCATGTGGTCGTATGAAACAAATTTATTAAACTTAATTCCACATCATCCTTAAAACCTTAGAATTTAACCCTAATCGTTTGAAACTAGCTGTTTCAATCCAGATTTCATTTATTTTCATAAAAGCTTCTGTGAACTTTCCTGACACTCCCTCATTGCATAAGCTCTTGAATTCATCATAGAAATCAGTAACTAATTTTGCAAACCAATCTTGAAAATAAGAACATGTACAGGTCCATCTCCACGAATCAAATTGTCATGAAAAGTAATTTTTTTTTTAGTTAAAAAATAATGGTACATGAGCTAACACTGGATTAGCAACATATTTGAAGTTTTGCTCCAAAAAGAGGTTTTACAGCTAATCTGTTAAATGCAAACTGCTTTACACAGTATCAGTGATTAAAACCATCATGTAGAGGCAGGGCTTGACACTAACTTTTTTCACTAGGAGCGCATGTGCTTCTGAGTTGAAAAAGTAAGGAACACACAAAGAACTTGAGGGGCACAATGAAAATTGATCAAATAAAGAGCTGTGTCTTATTGGTCGACATAAGTACTATGATTTGAAATCAATTTTAGGTCAGTTGGTTCACATGACATGGAGGGTATAAAAGGAAAACAGCCTTTTTTGAGAACATCAACTGGTAATTTATTGACGATCCCTTATTCCGAGTAGATTTAACTGCGCTGCTGTTGTTATTCCCGGTAATGGAGAGTGAGAAGACACTGGTAAATCCACAGTGAATGTCCATCAGATATCCAACCTAAAACTAACTTCACCGCAGTATTTACATGAAAAAACTTTTTACGCACACGTGCCCTTAAATACATTTAACAATTCGCACACATCTCTTTTTAGTCGCAAATGCGAGTGAAACGGTCGCACTGTCGATCCCTGTCTAGAGGAGAGTTGAAACTAATAAAACGTCTCTGACTCAGTCCACTCAGCGCTGATTGTCACATGGGCCCACGCTGTTCAGAAAAGTAAAGCTGATATGAATTGAAGCCTCGCCTACATTTCCTCCACACTCTGATAAAATGCTCTGAATTAAGCAGCTTATTGACCCCACACTTCCAAAGGTTTATTTTCATTTTAATCTAACTGCATGCAAGACTCTTTACTTTCAAATCATGCTCATGTGAACTTTTCCATTAATAATTCCAGAGGCCGTAGCGTTGGTTTGGCTCTACGCTTAAAGTGCGCCCCATGTACAGACACTTCAGCACTCATCACAGCAGTTGGTGGCTGAAATCCCTGCCTTGAACTTTTGCTGCTCATTATTCCCACTCCAGGAAAAAACACCCGTTTATAAATTTACACAGTTTTTATTGGTCAAAGAATCAAAGCTTTAAAAAAATTCAGTGATTATTAGTTTGTTAAGATTACGATTAAATACGTTTTGTTACTTGTTAACACTGTGTTTTTATATTGGAAGGGAAATGCGTCCAGGTCCGGTCCAGTGAAACTGCTCTTCACACTATAAATGAGAGTTTGGTTTGGGCTTGTACTGAAATATGAGACTTACATGTCAAATCTCCTCCACCGAGTGAAGACTGAAAGAGGCTTTGATACAAACACAACTTGTCTCTTCTCCCCACAGATCCTGATTGGATAAAGAAGATCTTGCAGGGACCCTGCACACTCTGCGACTCGCCGATGATCTAGACTTGGCTAAACCACAATACCTCAGGACCTCTCTGCGATAACAACCTGGCGTAGGGTCCAATTTTGTCAGAAATCACTGCGACCTTTTTTTATGTACTTTGTTCATGTTTTTTATTATGACTTTATTTTGGAGCAAATAAAAGGCTTTGATTAGACGCTCTAACTCTCATTTCCTCCCGAGTTTAGCCCTCAAAGCGTGCACAAAGACTGCCTCCCTCTGCTGCAGTTTTAAAATTAATATTTCACTGAGGTAAAGCATTTTGGACTCAAACTTCACAGTCTCCTTTATTTTCCGGCGTCTAAAATTAATTCCCAGTCAGGCGCAGTGTTTGCGTAAGGGTGCTCAGAAACAAAGTTTCAAATGTGGAGGTTTCTATTATTCAGTAGGACTTCAGGGCAACCATAAATAAGCTCCCTCATTTTCCTTATGTTGACTATGTTTCCAAACCTTTGGTGTAGTTTTTATAGCAAGTAAGTGGAACTTACTCTGCTAGTCCTATTTTAGTGAAGCTTTTTCTTTTTCTTCCTTTTTTTGAGTGCAACAAATAATACACTCTGAATAATACATACTCTGGAAAAAACTCAACATACCTACTTTAATTGGCACTGTAAAACAATTTCCAAGCTCTGGGAGGAGGAGGAGGAGGAAGAGGAGGAGGAGGGTGGTGGTGGTGCTCAGTCATTCTCTCAGATGAGGACTTCCGCTAATGTAAACGCAGAAGAGAAGGAGCGGCGAGGCAGATGAGATGAGGAAGAGGCAGGAAGAAAGCAAAAAGTGTGCTTAAAAACCCGGCGCGCTCCCTCCCACGGGAGCGCCTTGTAATGAGATTCAGCAGTAATGAGGGACAGAACATGGCGCCAGATGTGATTCTAATTCTAATCAAGGAGGGGAGGGTGGTGATGGGGGTTAGAGAGCATATTGTTAAATACAATTAACCCTTTTTTCCTATTTGGAGGGAACAAGGGCTGATGGGAGGGGATACAGGCTCAGCAGCATGTTCCTCATCGCGGCTCCTTGTTCTGGAGACACAGAGGTCGGCGGCCGGTGATCAAAGAGGGGATCTGGACCTGAGAGACCGGGCCAGCGGCAGAGGCTCCTCCATTCAAACCCGCGGCTGCCTCTCATCCCTCACATCCCCCGGCCCGGCAGAGGTGGGGCGGGGTCTTCCCTCCTTCTGGTGTCACTGGAGATGATAGCCTGCCCCGGGGCGAGGAGAGAGAAGGCAGCTCTGCTCCAAACACTCAGGACCGCTTGAAAGAGGGAACTTTCTTTTTATTCCATATCCCACATTTCTCTATCCAGTGATGGCATTTATTTACCCGCCAAAGACTGACTGAAGTTTCTGACTGAATCCTTTCTTTACTCGAGGATTTTCTCCCAATTAACCAAAAAGTGAATCATTTATCAAACTGATGTAAGCAAGAAGAGGAGGCTGGTGGTTGGATGAGTTTAAACAGGAAAACTGAAAAATGTAGGCTTGTTTGGGCGCCATAAGAATGTCAGTGTCTTTGTGAACACCCAGGGCCATATGGGGAAAAATAACTGGATATCAACTCAGAGAGGACAAGAACCACCACTTCCTATAGGTGTAGATTTAACCTGAGTGTGTGTTGGTCTTAGAAACGACAGTCAGGGGTATTTGAGGATATAAAATACGGTCTAATAAGTGCATTTACATGACAATCTCAGTTTTTATTGTAGTTTCTAAAGTAGCCCATATTTGTGGGTCAGGGTTAGGCATATATGCAGATATCATATTCTGATTTTAAAAGACTGCTTTTTAGGAACCAGGTTCTGCTTTCCAGGGAGCGCCAAAAGCAAACAGGGCACTGTCCCACTGAGCAATAGACGGCTATTAGACGTCTAGTATTTTTTTTTTTTAGACCTAATTTCAACCGTCTAGATTCTGTATATTTTTAGACGGGATTTAGACGTTGCACTTTAACCCATTATTTGATAACTATTTATTTCAAAAAGCAACTGTGAGTTACATAACTGATCTCCAAATACTTAACCAAAATAATTATTATAGCCGTTGAGCAATATGCAGTGTAGTATAGATACAGCCCAGATTTAGACTTGGTCTAAACTTGGTCTAAATTTAGACGTCTAAAAAACTTCCATTTTTAGACTTTTGTTAGCCTGATTTTAGACCAGTCATTTAGGCTACATTTAGAAGTCTATTAGACCTCTTTTAGACCAAAAAATGCTCAGTGGGGTGGCATGTACAGTGTGTGCACAACATGAGTTTCTGACAGTTACTGACTACTTGCACCGATGTGGTCTTAGCTCAGTCTCAATGAAAGACTTAAAAATTATTGGAAGTTTAGATGTGAAACAACATTAAAATCTGATCCTTTTTAGTCTGAGGTGGTCTCCTGTTCCTCAGATTTCATAATTGCTGCACTTTGGGTTGTAGAAAATAAACATCACAAGAGCCTGGGTGAATAAGATGCATCTTCATTTGTATCTTAAAGCCAAATCTTGAAAACAAGCATTTATCATAATCAGGTTTTTTCTTTGTGTGTGAACACTCACTGATTGGCTCTGGCCACAGTGTCTCTTTTTAAAGAAAACTCTGTCACAGATTTTCCCAAAATAAAGCAACAGAAGTTCAAAGAATCCTCCTAATTGTACGGAGACAGCAAGGCCCTGAAATAACCTCGCTATTAAAGAAAAAGAGCTGAGCTCAGCGCTTCTTTAAAAAAATATAAAAATCCACTCAAGTTTAATTCCAAGTTTCCGACGGTGAGTAAAGTGGATGGTTGCTAAAAGCTCTTCGTCAGCCCTGCCTGTGGTGGGTTTGTGGAGTGGAAGTGGCTCCTCAGGTTGTAATGTTCCTGTCACTGATAGGTGGAGACCAGCACTGTTACAGAGGTTAGCTGTGTTTGGTTGATCCTCCTCCTGCTTTAGTGTAATAATCCGTCAAAGAGCAGCTCCACCAGTAATTACCTGCTTCCCCTCCCTCCCTCTCCCTCTGTCTTTGCTCTCAAGACTTCAAACGGAGGATTTTTCTCTTTGCATACAATATTTATATCCTTTATGTCAGTGGCTGGATGGCATAAAACATTCATGGCACCTTTTCACACCTTAATTTTATGTGATATTCCTTTTGTTTTGTTTAGATTTTGAACAAGATCCGTGCCACTGTGTCTCTCAAGAGCATCTATTCATTTTGTAGCTTCAGTGTTTCCTCGTTTTCACGCACAGAGACGTGTGACTGCTTCACCTGGTGGGATCACCGCATTGTTTTTGTAGATCTGCTGCTTTTATGAGCCTCCTGTTGATCTTTTATTACACACTTTGGCGTATTTTTGAGGAAAGTTCACAAGTAGTTTAAGATGATACAAGTAATGAGATAATGTTATTTTGTCAGCCAACATCAGCTCCACTTATAATAAGCCGTCGTTATGCAGGAGTATTTCAAAGCGCCAGTGAACTTATATTCATTATTTTCATATCAGTGTTGAAAGATTTAATGTGCAGAATTTACCAAAAACATTTTCTCTCTAAAACTAACCAAAAGTATGATGATATGAGATATGTTGTGCATAATTCAGTCTGATTTTTCCACTTGATAGGCTTTCCAGTCGACAAAAAAGTCTCTACAGTTTCAGTGGTTTGGTCTAATTTAGCTCCACTCAATTCAAAAACTAATTTTATGCAAAAACATCTCCTCACCTGTTTCTTAAATCTGACAACTTTGAAAAACTTTTTGAGTGTTTTGCTCTTTAATTAGACCAAACTGTAATCTGCCTAGTGATTTGCTGCGATTTGCCAAAGTGCATGTAAGGAAAGCACCTAAAAAGTTGTGGAATAAGGCTTTGAATTAGTTTATGTAGGCAACAGTCTAGAGTGGGTGGTTGTGGGTTCGACTTAATCCCTCACCCAAAACCTCAGACCTCAAAACTTCCTATCCGTCCCACTGCCACATCTTTGACACACACAGTTCATGTAGAAAGGAGTTAGGAAAAAGAAAGAAGGGAAAAGAGAGGGAAAGGGTGAAGGGAGTAAAGCAAGAGAGGAGAAAAGAAAGAAAAAAGAGAAGGAAGAATGAAGGAAGGAAGGACTGAAAGAAGGGAGCAGGGAAAGAGGAAAGGAGAAAAAAGTGAAAGGAAGAAGCAAGAAGAAAAGAAAGGAAGGAAGTAGGGTGGAAAAAAGGAAGGAGTGGGGGTACGAGTCATGGCAACAATAATAAAGCTGAAGCATAAATACCAGAAATGTAAGACCAACTGATACACCGTTTGGGGCTGCAAGTAGGAATGGAACCCACAACCACCCACTCTAGACTGTTGCCAAATGATCAACTTTCTTTTCCACTCATTCCTGGCGCATGTGAGTCTTTCCTGGTGAAGACTCAGGGTCCTTGGCACAATAACAGCTGTAGGAGAGAAAGAACCGAAATATGGCAGATTTTGAGTGAGTAAAAATGACCAAATATTTCCTATCACCACATGAATTCCCTTGAAAATCACTACTTTGTGGAAGTTATTCATAACCACTGAGGTAAATAAAGACAGCATGCAAATCCCAGGACAACACTTACTGACCTTATTCGCCTACATGCAACTATCAAATCCACACAAACCCACTCACCCTCTATGACTATTGCTGGATGAAAATCACCCTGTGAACACGTGCTTGTAGGAAAAAGCAGGTTTTGGATCAGGGAAACAAATATGCCTTCAAAGATGTCAAAGGCCATACTGAAGCCACCCAGGGACCCATGATACTCAGACAAACGCAACATGATGAAAATCACGTTAGCATGTTTGGTTGGGTGCAAATCACCCAGTGATAGTGTTCTAGGGTTAAAGGCACGTTTGAGTGTAAGTGATCTGTGTTTATTATCTGTTTAAGAGTCTGGACACTGGTTGTCAGTGAATTGAGTCTCGGGTCTGGGACCACACCACATACCTGGAGTTGCATTGTCGTATTTATGCTGCTCACCCCTGTGAGGCTTCTCTCCTCTGTTAGTCCTCTAAACTGGACTGGATCCCCCTGAACATGTCGGTGCTAATGAAGTCAGTATGCAAGGCTGTCTGGTGATCTCTCTGAACTGATGGGGTGAACATGCTTGTCTAACTGGTTGACTCCCCCGCTCCTGCCGTCCCTAGGGAGCAGGAGAGGGGAGGGGGTGCAGTGACCCGAGACCAGCCATGGGGTTGAGTGGGGAGGGTGGAGGGTGGGAGGCTGTATGTCCATCATTAGAGTCACTATTTGTTCCTGGCTTTTGGAGCACTGGAGTGGAACTAATACTGAACAGCAGAATGGACATGGAGAGGGAGGGCCACTTTTTCCTGCTACATTAATTAAACTCATTCTCAACATGCTCCCTGTCTCCTCTGCTGCTGCTGCAATTAAGTGAGGCGGCCGCTTTGTGTATACGCTTGGTTTAACCTTTTCTGACGTTAAGCACAACATCCCTCACTTTCAGAGGTGGTGGGAAGTGACTCACAGCGAATCTACTCAAGTTCTCTGCCTCAGCGCAGTTCACAGAAGCTCTCTATTCTCACTCGCTGTACTTTGGACGGAAATGATCTGTTAACTGGAGCTGGAACTAATGATTCTCATCATCTATCAATTATTTATACAAGTGAACCACCATTAAGGCTAAACACTGCACAAAATAGCGATGGGAAATTTGAACAACAGTGTTAAACCCAACCATTTTCTATTTACTGTTATTTAAAAGAGGGAAAAAAGGAGTAAATCCCACACCAAATAGGCTGAAACTGGGGAATGTTTGGTTATTTTGCTTATTAAATGCTTTAAATGAATAATGAATCATTTAAAATGTGTATGATAAATGATTAATTCTCTGCTATCCTCTTAACTTTTAATCCATTTGTTTCTGCACTACTTTCAGTTCATTAGTGGCTACTGGCTTCTTTGCAGATTTGCATATGCTCACTCGCAGAGAAAAGATTGGATCTGTACAGAAACAAAATAAAATCTCTTAAAATAGTAAACTAAAATGTTACAGAAAGATGGGGCACACATCACAGCAGGAAATCTATGGACACTGATCTAGACCCAGTTTTTAAATCATTCAAAGTTAGGATGAACTTTGGGGGACCATTTGGGGGAACAGACGAGCCTATTATGATCTGGTCAACTGGTCAGATGAATTTCTGGCATGTTAGAAATTTGTTTTGAGACGTTAGGCAACGCGGTAGACAGCGTCTGAAAACACCAACCCAAAACGCCATGTGAAGAAGACAATTACAAATACACACTGATCTGCTACAACATTATGACCATTTCAGTAATCTAATACAATCCAAGTTTCTGCATTTTCATATTTTGTCGACACACCAAAAGGGTATTGGATCCATCCATCCATCCATTATCTCTATTCCTTACCTCACTGGGTCATAGAGGGTGACAGTAGACTATCCCAGCTGTCATTGGATGAGAGGGAAAGTACACCCTGGACAGGTCAGCAGTCCATCACAGGGCTAACGCTAGGGTGCCCATACGTCCTCTTTTACCCGGACATGTCCTCTTTTTGGGAGCTCTCCGGCTTTGTCTTTATAAAATCCTTCAAATGTCCGCGGTTTTGTACGTAAGTTTCGAGTTTGTGTCACGTGGAATTACAGAATTAGATGCGCGTAAAAGACACTTGATCCGACCTGAAAAACTCTCAAAATGAACTTCGTGTGACTCCGTGACTCCGCCTCCACGTAGTCGTGTCCTCTTTTTGGAAAGTCAGAATATGGTCACCCTAGCTAATGCATACAGACAAACAACCGCTTATGCACATATTCACATCTACTTCCATTTAGTGTCAAAATAACTTGGTGGGCATGTATTTGGGCCGTGGGAGAAAACTGGAGTAGCTGAACAGAACAGGAAGAACATGCAAACTCCACCTTGAAAGGCCCAACAGAGCTGTCAGAGTCATTTTTTGTGGTTTCTTAGGATTTCTATAATTAAAGCTTTCAACTGTAGCCCCAATTTTACAGCTTAAAACTCTTGTCTTTCACAGGGATCAAATTCCAAACATTGAATTTTTTATTTTTTTTCAAGCAGTGATTGAAGTGATTCAAGGTGAACGATGGAGCTTTGAGTTTGATTCACGGACAGTTTTTCATTTACTGTTTCAGAACGACAGTATCTCTCTTTTTTTCTTTTCTTTTAGATGACAGGTAAAAGTGAACACAAAGCACCGTTGGCTGTGCCTGAGCGCGTTCTCAGCAGATCTTAAGTGAAACATACTGTTCAGCAGGCCTGCAAGACATCACGTAGTGTGTTCATAAATGCGGCAGATGATGGATGTCTGTCTCCATCAGCGCTGGCACCATGAAGTGACAGCTCTCTGTAACAGTGACAAGTTGGGTTCCAGCGCAGACAGATTGCCTTCAGGTGGCTCCATTTTCAAAATCGCACCTAGGATTGGGAGCACTTAACTTTCCTCTTGAAGGCTGAAGGGCTTTCTGCGCCCTTTTATATTCCACATTTCGGCAGGCAGAGCAAGTGAGGAGGGAGGGGGGGAATGGCTCATTTGAGAGTTTGCTTTAATATCTGTCTTTCAGAGATCAGAGGGTGTCACATTCTCACACCTCATCTTTCACAGCATCTATCACAGGCCATGTAAAATTCCCTTAAAAGTGCATTATGCAATATAATAGCAGGTTTGGGTGACATTTATCTGCCAAGGGGAGGAAGGCTGGTTACAGACCTATTGCCTTTTACAAAAAGGATTTCATCACACAGGGAATCTTTGTGAATTTCCTCGCTTTGTCTTGCGATTGCAGCTGATGATTGAAATTAAAAATGAAGTTTAAGCCTCTCTCACAGATTAATGTTTTTTTATGTGCAAATAATCACACCTTAAAACAAACACGGGTTGTTTTGGGAGGATTTTCCTAACAGTTCTGTTGACTTTTTTGTTGAAATACTGTCGGAGCAGTTGATCTAGATAATCTTGCGCAGTCTTCTGCATGAAGGGAAGAGAAATTATTTCAGGGCCTGGTTATGCAGAAATTCTAATGAGTATTTTTGTTTTCATAAAAAAAAGGAAATACTGGTAATAACTATGTGCAAAACCATTAGAATGAATATTTATGCTGCTCGTTATGAAATATTCATTAAGTCAGTTTAAAAAAAGAACAACGACGAGGAGACCGGGGAGGGAGATTGTGTGTTTACTTGTGTGTATTTGTGTGTAAAATTGGGGCGGTGGGGCCCTCAGCACCTATTGCGCAGGAGTACTGCAAAACCCCTAGATTGAATATCTGACATCTCTTAACAAAAGCACCGGCGGTAGCATCTTCTCCCCTTGTTTTGTAATTTTTTCCTCCACTCTCTCTCTCTCTTTCTCTTCGCCTGAGGTGATCCGAGTCTCTCTGTTCATCCGATCTCCACATCTCTCTCTCTTTCTCCACCTTTCATTCCCTCACTTCCCCTTCGTTCCATCTAGCCAAATTAAGAAATTAATGAGGGATAGGTTCTTTACCAACTGCCCCTGCAATGTTTACCACTGATGAAATTATAATGTAGGCCCTGCTGTATTATTTATAAGCCAATTAGGGGAAGTGTTACTTGATTTGATGGGGAGCCGACACACAGAGTACATTTAACTAATGGAGACCAAGAGAGTAAAGAGAAGGAGGGGAGGGAGGACAGCTGAGGCGGACTATTCCGTACGATGCTCTAGGATTACGTGGCTAATTGCCCTGCTTTATCTGTCTGTCACGGATAGCCATGCATATTTTAGCGTTCCCAAAGACTTTGATTGTTTGCACTCGTGTTGGGGCTGTAACAAGTAGAGCAGAGGCCAGAGTGGAGTGTAGTTAAAAACTGGCAGCAGGGGAGGCAGGGAGGGGGCGACGGAGAAGAGGAAGAGGAGGGGGCATGCACAAAACTAAGACGCTGTGACAGGTGGAGGGAGAGTTTTGACAAGGAGCAAAGAGGTGTTGAGGTGGGAACTTGTAACAGGGAAAGAAAAAAAATGCCCAAGCAGCTCATTGAGACGATGCAATTAGATGGCAGCACAAACAGTAATTAATTTCACTTATTGTAGCCTGTAGCCAAGTGTAACTCCCTGACCTCTGTTGCATATTGTTAAAAAACAATTTCATTATTCTGTTTTCTCATTTGCATGGCTCATTTGCACAGCGACATGGCAAAATAGTGACAACCACGGAGGTAACAAGGGGCAAAAATCCCTCCCATGAAATGCAGTGCACACAAGCAGCTGGGAACTAATGGACTGTTTCATATGTAGGGTTACATTTTGGGGGTTTTGCAACAAAAGACAAGATCTGAGGACGTCACCCTCTCCAGGCCATTTGGTTATAGGAATGCATAATATTGGATTTCTGCCATCATTCCTTATTTTCAAATGCATCTTGACCTGCACAGATACCAGATTCACACCCAACCTTCACTCTTAAGAGCATCAAGTCTCTCCTGTGCTAGACTGTACCAGTTACTCTCACTGTAACGGTAAAAACAAGCAACATTTGAGTCTGCCCAAACATATTCAATGAACTCTTTGTCAAATTTAGATATCCAGAAATAAAAAAGGGAATCATGTGTCATCACGCTACTGGGCGGTGAGGCTTGATATACGGAAAGGACTCACACTTATCTTATAAAAGTAAAAACATCTTCTTTCGTACTTCTTAGAAACCATGAAAAGTTGAGTATGACGGTTCATAAGATTCACAATTAAACCTTGCAACACCTAAACCTCACAAACAATGCAAACAGCTGTCAGTCTTTAACACTTCAGAACTACTCCTTACAGCCAACCTGTTGAAGCTCATTGTTTGCTCATGTAAGCTGTTGTCAAGTTTCCATCATTAATTTGACACCATATTTGCCATACATATCAGCAGAAATGTCCACTGCAGATACTAGTGATACGCTTTAAAGTTTTTACCTTTTGATACCAATATCATGCCAATAATATAATTTTATGAAATGGTTTATGATTAAACAAGTCTACAGGGACTTCACTCTTACAGAAGTTACTCCTTTGCTAAACTCTGTGCCTCATATATGAAACAAGAGCCCATGCCTAGGGATGTTTTAAATAACTCATTTTCCACTTAAGTTTACATTCCGACTAGCAGACTAGTCTAAAGGCCAGTAGCTCAGGAGGTAGAGCGGTCGTCCAATAACTGAAGGGCTGGCCGTCCAATTCCCACCTGTCTCGAGTTTGTCCATTGTGTTCCTTGGGCAAGACACTTTCCCACTTTGCTCCCGGTGTGTGTCCTATACTGGTGTATGATTGTGAGTGTTGTGTGGCCATGGGCGCTAATTGGCAGTCATGTTTCCGTTCCGTGACTATTAAGGTAGTTTACCACCACCAGGTTTTGACTGTAAGCGAATGAATGATGTATCCAATGTAAAATGCTTTAAGGGTCTCTGATAAAGCGCTTTATGAAATCTGATGCATTATTATTATTTATCATTAGAAAAGAGCCTGTCAAAACTGAGCGCAATTTAAAAAAAATTAAAACAGTCATCCAGGATGGCAGAGGCTGCAGCTAAGTGACGTCAAATTGTTCTGCAGAGTTGCCAACCTTCGCCGAGACAGAACCACCAGCCTTGGATCCCCCTGCAGGTGAAAGCCCACATGCCTTTTCTGGTTGTGCATTGCTCCAGCTGGGTTAATCAGACACACCCTACATGTAACTCATCAAAATACTGCTAACTGCTCCTACTCTGTGAGATGCCATCTGTCATCTGTGCTTATTTACATCCAAATAGTCGAGCAAAATGTCAGTCCTAGTGCAGCAGGTGACAAACGACAAACATTTTTGGCTGTTAGACAAAGACATCAATCATTCAGTCCACTTGACCCACACATCAGGTTGAGACCCTAGATTCTCTGAAGGAAAATGCTGAAAATCACTAGTGCAGGTTGGAGGAACTCTGGTTTTGGCTTTACTCAGGAAACAAGAGTCTGGATCTTCTAATAAAATACAGTCTATGAACAATACAATTCAACGGCTGTTAATGAGAAAAATGAACTCTGCAAAAGTTATAGTTGTTCAGGGTGAGCTGAGGGCCAAGATCCCCTGCTGCAGGGTTCAACTTGGGCAGATCAGTCCTGGAGGATCCAGCTCCAGCACCCGGGAGTGAAGCTCCTCGGAGCAACTCTGACTGATGAGCTTTTTGAAAGTTGATCAGACACTTATGCTAAGGAGGGGAAACTGGAGCAAAGGCATCCTTAATTATCTGATGAGGGGAAGCTTATCTGAACGGTTTCTTTTTCTCTACTCTTTTATCCTGCAGGATCGCATGGCAGAGCTTTACATAACAAAAGAGCTACCTGCCTCATTTAAAACTCCATCCTGATAGATCCTGTATGGGACCTGGTTGTGGTCTACGACGAGTCTGTGCTTTATGGCATTGTGTTCAGATGCCGTTCCTGAAATATTGTGCAATAAAGATTTTAGGCTTGAGCATATTGGAACATTTACTGCAATGAGTGTGTAATTAATTCACGATTTAAAGTATTAGTACAGGCTTTGTGTGGTGATTTATTTAAAAGCTGGTACTAACGCTGGCTCGGTTTCCTCCTTTAGGAAATGGGTAATAAGATCTGATGCCAGGCCTTCTTTAGCATCCCTCACACACACACACACATGCACACACACACACACACATCTTGTATTAGTGTGTCTCCTCCATTAGAAGCCCACACATAAGCACAGGAGTGCTGTCACCAGCGCTGTCACAGTCACCATGTTAACTTATTCATCCCTGTTAAAGCCCATGTAACTGGATAGCTGTTAATTAATATAGCTGTCGGGTAAATGGTTGCCGCCGGACCATCGCCACCATCCATCAGTAACATAATCTCAGGCTTGTTTTCATGCCAGTCCTCGGGCTCAATTAAGATAATGCTATGCAAACGAGGTCTCCCGCCATTAGCCTCATCACTGAGGGGCCGTTTATTGGCATAATTGGGGCACTCTAAAGAACAATTACTGTGGCACCTCCTCTCCACCTATACGATCAGCAATCATCTGTGAGCATGACTGAGGAGTCACAAGTCGTGACCGCCGGGCGTTGAGTCGTAGCTGCAGATTGACCTGAGAGGTCCTGCAGGAGCAGCGGGAGAGCACAGACGGACGACTGCAGCCAAGACTGCAGACCTGTGATCAGTCTGATTACTGTGATTATCACACATTGTGCACTAATTTTAAGATGATACTGATCCTGTTTTAAATTCCTTCATAAAATACGACAAATTCTGATATTTCTCAGTTTTAAGGCATGTGAGCAAATTCTGGGCTACATTTAAAAGCACAGTCATTCTACACAACACTTCTGCTTCCTCAGTAGTGACCATTACATCTCTTTTTAAGATTCGTATTTTTTTGATTCAAGGACAAATTACAGAGTGAATATCCAGAGATGGTTTGACATTGAAATCAGGCACTGTCGGTGGATATGAACAGGTTAAAATGGACACAGGCCCTAACGGTTCACACTTCATAAGGTTCATTGCATTTCATTCTGTGTTACCCCTTATTTCCACCGCATCCGGAACGGCGGCGAAAAGGCTGTATGTGCCGATCGCAGCTGATCATTTCCATTTAAGTTAACGTGTAAATTTCCACTGGGTTCTTTCCATCCTGCTGCGGTTCAGCCGATTGCCAGGTTTCTATTTTTTCTGTCACCACAGCATGCTGCATAAATTCAGCACAGATTGGAAAGGAAGCCGGGCACAGACACAAAATAAAAATTCCGGCTTCTTTTCAAAATAAAACACCACATGTTTCAGGCAGATCGTATTTCACACCATGCAAACACGGGCGGGGACGAACAGGTCAAAAGTTTTCAGACATTATTTCACCCCGTTGACACCATGGATGAGGAGATGCGGATTCTAGCAGTCTAAAAGTGGATTTCCTCTTCTATAAGGACACAATCTACTCATTATACGGTTATGTGGCCGTCATTATAGAGACAACTTGTTATCGCGCGATTGCATGTGAAACCGCGGGTTCTTGTGAGTTCTCGTGATTCCCGCTGTCCGTAATCCGCCACGAAATTTGCCGCACAACACAAACCTGGTAGGAATTGGCTGATGGCAAAAATTGCCTCGGGGGGGTTATGTAGTGTACTCAAATCTTGTCTCACCTGTGCCAGAAAAAAACAAAATGTTTAATTTCAGGATTGTCAGGGCCCTGGTTGAGATAACATTTTTTAGCTCAGTCAGCAAAGCAGGCGCCCCATGTTCAGAGGCTACAGTCATAATTGCACCTGTCAAAGCATTAACTCCTGGTCCCATCATGATTTTGACAGTGTCCTGTGTGAATGCATTACAATAAGAGCGCTCACTTTGACAAATGGTGAAGTGAACGGCTCTATTTGCAACTTATATACATGAAAATGAATGTCACTCTGGAGACAATGGCATTTGTCCACATTTCTGTAGGATCTTAGACATATCGAGAGTTCATGTTTGTTTGTTTCTTTATCCTCAGACCTTCCATTTTAGCTGATGAGAAAACAACTGCTCACTAAGCAGGTTTCCCCAGTGTGTTGAAGTGCAAGGGTCAGAAACTTTAGCCAAATATTTAGCCTATAAATTATATTTATAAAAGGCACTTGGTGGATTTTTTTAGGTTTCATTTGTTAAACAAACTCATATGGGATTTTCTCACCCTTTAAACCATATATATGCCTATTGTTCTACGGTAGTTAAAAGTAATTCATTCATAGGTAGGAACTTAGAGTAGTTTTACTTCTTGAGCTTTAAATGCCCAAAATAACTCCCTCCAGGAAAATGTTCACCTCTTAACAATGAGGATAACGTGTTTCTCAACTCCTCTAGCAGCCTGTTAGTCTGAAAAGGAGAAAAAAAATCACCATTATCAGCGAGATCGTTATCCTAATGCAAAATTTATGACTAAATATATAGCAACAGGCCGAGTTTCTCAGTCCCTGCTCTGTGAACCTGCCATCTGAATTTGTAAATCTCCAGGAGACTTTCTCTATGCTGAGTCACATTCCCACGCATTTTCCTTCACTGTGCGTTTGTTGTTGATTTGCGGGTTTCCTCCCTTCAGCAGGAGAGACAAAAGCCACGTCTCTGCAATTCTGAGGCCCCTTCCCATCTGTTGTCTGCTCACACCTCCACTTTGCTACATGACTCACACACACACAAACAAACACGCGTGCACACACTCACTCATACACCATAGGCGGGCTTTGGCACTAGCACTAGCTATAATGATTCCTCTGACACACATTGGGGCACATCATTCCACAGCACAGCACAGCTTTGCAGCTCAAGGCCCCTAAACCTCACTCACACTCTCACAAGCAGGATGCTTTCTGCGTGTGTGTGTGTGAGTGTGTGTTCATGGCCATGCGGCTGAGAAGTGAATGGCTCCTTGGGAATTTTAAGAGTCAAGCCCCCCTAAATCTTCTTGTTTCAACTTTAGAAAATCAATAGGATAAATATCCTGTTTGCCCCTCTTGTCCTCAGCCGTCCGCCTCCAGCTTGCTCAGGTTACCGGAGCGGAGAATCTCGCTCTCACCTCAGGCTATGTTTAAAACAATCCCTGTTTTTCTGACTCTCAATGGCCACAGATCTCAGGTGCAGCTTTTTTTTTTTTTCCTTAACAGCGAGCAAGAGGGGGAATCATGTTAACATATGCCATTGGAGAGCGCCACTGGCTAAGTCCTCCAATCGACCAGCTCCGTGTGTGATTAGGCTAGTGAAGCTGAGCCTGGGCCAGACACAGATCGAAGAGGGTACACTTTCAATATGGATGCGCAGCGTGCCTGCCACGGCCACATCCAGCTGCTTCTATTGATTTTCCTGTCCTCAATTATATAATAGAGGCTCTGTTCAGGATTGGATCTTAAATCACATAGTTTGGCAAGCGAGCATGTCCCATAAATCAAGAAACATTTTGACTCACATGAAATAGGATTTTTATCGACAGCGTTTGGCAGACCCTCTGAAGAGATTTGCGTGACCACTGTGTGAATGTGCGGTACAAAAGCGTATGTCTGTAGGGCTTTTTTTCCTTCTTCTTGTGTGTTCCAGGTGGTTGAACTAAAGACAAAGGGGCACTGACACAAAACTTTGAGTGTACAGTTCAGCAGGCCACAACTCAAGCTCTCACAAATCTGTTTTGAAAAGCCCTTGGATTAGTTCTCCCAGTACACAGTTGACTCTTCTAATTGGAAGACACCCACTCCTTTAGCCATCTGATCCATTGGCAACTTTGTTGAAATACATCCCTTAAGTCTTTATCCTCCCAGGCATATCGATATCGACAGGAAGAAGCAGGTTAGGTTTCATTGTGAGTGAAACACAACTGAACAAGTACTCAGTTTCACAGTAAAAGAAATACTCAGCTCTAACTAACAGCCATTTACATTTCATCTCAATCCAAAAAGAGAGAAATTTTCCTTTTTCCCCTCCTGCTTTTGCAGTCTTCTTTATTAACAAGAAGACATATGTTGAGTTATGTGCAGTGAAGGTTCGTTGTTGGGGATGTCATTATATCAGAACCTCATGTATGTGAATTTTTTGTGGATTAATCGTTTCTACCTCTCTATGATAGTATGACAGTTATGACAGTGAAGTACGGTATTTATTGGTGAAAAACGTCATTTGTTTGACTCTAAATAGTTCATGGAGTCCACCAACCTGTGGTCTGTGAGATGAATTCTGCCATTCATGACATGGACATGACCGTAGACTGTAAAGAGAATGGACGCCGTCTGCCTCCTCGCTGGGTGAAGCTACTCTGAGAACAGCACCCTCTGGCGATGGGCTGCAGTATAGGTCATAAACCCCGCCTCCTCCAGCAATCCCTATGAAGCTGTGGACAAACTTTAGAAATTTATTACACAGTATATACATTTTTCTCCCCCTGCTTGCGATGTTGACATACAGTATAGTCACAGTAAGACTGGTTTGTGCTCAAGTCCTCTTTTTTCTGTACAGCTCCGTTGTAAAAAGTTATCAAGGGTTCATGTTTTCTTTGATTGACACTTGATACAGCCTATGGGCGTATGAAGATTGCGTAGCTCACCCGGGGGATAAGCTGTTTGAGACGAGTGTCATCACAGCGACTCTCGGCGACTCTCCCGCTGAATGCGTACAATGCTACTGCACAAGCGGTGAAGTGTGTACAACGCTACTGCGCAATGTTGGTTTCAGGAAAAGATGAAAAACCGGAACCAAGTTGTCCATAGTATATACAGTCTATGGCCATGACACTTTGGTTTAACTGGGTTTACTAACCTCAATCTATTGTTGTTAACCACAGACACCACAGTCTGCATGTTCTTTAGTCTGTTATGTGGAAGCAAAGCTGTGAAACATTTCCATCACAGGCTTTGAGATGGATTTTCTCCTCGTATCATCTCAAATCTTTTGGGTGATGATTAACAAGTGGCGTCTCATGTTCATTTTCCTTGATGTGAAGTCAGAGTTTTCCAATTTATGTTTTAATACAAGGGAATCTAAATTGCCTCCACACCACAGAATGGTGTAGAAATCACTGGATGTAGCCATCAGTGAAATCACCTGTTTTGAGGCAAATCGCCATCTTGGTGATGCTGACTTAACCAAACATTCGGTCAACCAACAGAGAAGGATCATTGAGTGAAAAGTTTAACTAAACTATTAACTACACCAACTCATAAAACCCTGATTATGAGGACAGGGTTACTGTACATCTGAAGTGAACAAACATTACTCATTCATGAAGACTCATTTCATCGTGAATATGAGTGTCACTGTAAACCAACATATTTCATGCCCTATAGACCCGGTAAACTGACCCATCGCACACTGTTCATGGACCACAAACATAGACCTAATTGCACATGGCCTGTCCTTCCTGCAAACTAGAGCACCGTCATTATCACGGAGTGCCATCAGATACCCGGGTGAGGAGGGGGAGGACGGCTGAGAGGCGGTGGCTGAAGATGGCCGGGGGTTCGGTTCGGTGGGAGGGTAACCTAAGCCTCAGATGCTAATCTTGCAACGCTCTGGCATTTTGGGGGATAATTGTAGCCCTGGCCGGGCTCAAGTGATGATGCAGGTGATCAGCTGGAGTTAAGCCTTGTCGTTTTGGCCGGTTTGCTCTCCTTCCCCTTACCTGTCCTTGTGTCTCTCCTTGGTGTTAATCCCTCATTCCTTCCTATATCCTCCCCGCCTCCCCCAGTATGAATATTCCCCAGAATGCCTGACAAACTCGTGGTTGTGGAGGCAGTGGGGAAGGGTCGTGCGCGTAACTTTAGCTGGAGTAATGAGGCCTAATCCCCTGCTAGCTGGGGCCTGTTTAAACAGCTCCTGGCTGAGCCACCCGGTAATAGAGTAATTAACCCCAGCGCCCTTCTCTGCCCAGCAGCTCTGGTCGTGTACGACGAACGCCCCTTGCACTCTGTTCTGCCTGCGTTTCTGCTCTGTCATTGTCCTTGATGTGAAAGGTAGGAAGATTGGAAGAGGAGGAAAAACATCAAATCACCGCTGATGGGAAATAAGCTCAAGATGGAGCGCAAAGTGATGCACGGCAGCCCTTCATCGTTTTTGCTGCACCTGCCTGACATTGGCTTTGTAGTGGCTTGTCTTTGCATGAAGAAGCAATATCATTCAGCATGTGCTCTGTGAAGAAACAATAATAGGAACAGTTCAAGGGTCATTAGAAGTGCTGTGGATCACTTGAGGCAGACAGAGCGCTCACTTGTGAAACATATCTCTCTCCACTGATCTGATTTCCAGACAATCATACACGACAGATTCTTTGTATTTGCTTAAGGTGGGCCCGCGAAAACAATCAGCACAATCAAACAGCATACCCAACACACAGGCATCCCATCAAGCCAATAGGAGAATCCTTGTGTGTTCATGTCCCGGCTCTTGCCGTCTCCAGCCGGCTTAATGCGGAGATGCACTGAAGCGTTTGAAGTAAGCAGCCACCACACATTATGCCAGATGAAATGCCATCATGCGTGGTCGCTGAATAGTTTGTGTCATTAAGAGAATAAGGCAAACAGGGAGCCGAGCGCGCTCAGAACCTGCCTGCTCGCATGCCTTTTCTGAGGGGAAGGCAAGATTAAGGGGATGCTCAGAGGCTCTCGTCTGTCAAGACTTCAAAGATGCCATCGACACTCCTTGTTTCTACCGGCGCAGCGACCAAATCGCACACACTCTGCTGCCTCTGTGGCTGTCAAAGCTCCTCTGACATCCCCTTTATCAGGTGTACAGACTTTAATCCAGACATGGATAAATAAATCAACACACGGGGGTCCCGCTCTTTTCAGCGCCTCCTGGTGGCAGGGTATCTACACAGCTGAGAAAATATTAAGAAGTCATTAATCGTCTGCTGGGGACAACAAAGACGGGCCAATTACAGGTTACAGTTAGGATAATTAATGTGCGATTGTCAAATACGGACAAGAAATCCAGTGAATGAACCAATAAGAAGCCTGTTTTTTTCCTCTAGGCGGGCACGTCAGAGGATTACAAGCAAGATAACAAGCAAGAAGTGAAATCAGCAATGGCATCAAGGCGTTCGCTCTCTGAATTGGGCTCATCTCCTCTTGCATGCCTGAATTGAATTTCAAAGTGTATCTATCAGTTTCTACAAACAGAGAAATGTGTTGCTTTCTGCCTTTTTTTTTCCTCAGGAGCCGGGTATCCATTTTGACACCTAGTGCAACATCTGGAGCAGACAGATGAGAAAAGAACAGAGGAGTTTGAATTAGAGTTGACACGTCGACATGTAGGCAGACACGCCGCACATCAGAGCCGGCTCCGCGTGCCGGGATGGACACATCAGTCTGTTTGGATATCGGCGAATCCTGAGTGCGAGGAAACACGGCTGAGCGGGACCACGGGAAGCAATCTGAGATATCGACAATGAAATAAATACAGAGGAGCAAACCAAAGAAAAAGAAGTGTGTACCCAATATGACTGCTTTAACTCACAGAGAAGTTCCCGGGAAGGAGAGAGAGGGGGAAAAAAACACACACACTCACACAAGCTGGAAAAGGCATAGTGTTGTACCTGTCTGGGTGTATTTCTGTTGGTTCTTTTCATTTTATTTTAACAGCAAAAGTGAGGCAGACAGAGATCACCACAACAGGAATATGATGTCTGAACTGAGTAGAGAGATCTGTTGTTTCATTGTTCTGTTTGTTTGTTTTGAAGACCAGTCTGGCAGCGGAAAGCACATCCCTTTCAGAATACAAAAGATGCCTTAGAGGCAACATAAGTGAAGTTTTATGCTGATGACTGACTGCTTGACAAACATCGGGGGTGAAACTGCAACTCCGTTCAGCGAGGAGGAGGAAGAAGGCGCTGAGAAAAATATAACAGGGGTACCTGGGTAATGTGTAAAAGAAAAGGAGGAAAAAAGGGGGTTTAAAAACTGAGGGAGAGAGAAGACAAAAAAACTAATTTATATCCTATAAGAGGAATGTGAGGCACCCAGGGGGGCCCTGTAAGTTGTGAAAAATTAAAGGAGACGGATTCAAACTGTCCAATTTCCACATCAAACAAACCCTAGGCTCTGTGCTCCTGGTGAGGCTGCCTCATATCCAACACATAGCCTCAAAAAAGGTGCCCCCCACCCCCATCCCCTTCCTCCTCATCCTCCCCCCCCCTGCCTCTTCATCTCCTCCACGAGTCCACTACTGCAGCCGCCGCCGCGTTATTTTATTTTATTTTTAACTGGTACTCTCCATTTCCTCAATAACCCTGCTCTCTAATTCCCTTAAGCACTGTACTGGTTACACTAGCCACCATCTCTCCCCTGCCTAATTATACCCTTGTGAGTCTATTAATCAACTTGTGAATTATTTAAGAAGGAGAGCTCCTCTGCCTGTAACTGGCTTTGACACTGTGAAGGAGAGAGAGAAGAGAAAGGCAGCGGGGAGGTGGGGGCAAGCTAAAGCAAAGGGGGGATGAATGTTTGGAAAAAGAAGGGAGGGGAAAAAAAGGAAGGAAGGTGAAATGGAAAGAAAGAAAAGACAGGAAATGAAAAGAAAAGGGAGATGGAATCAGGGTCTTCTAGCAGGAGTCCCCTGAGAGTCATGCTGCCTGTGCAGCGCTGCACCCGGACCAGACAAAACCCCCATCAACATTCACCCTTTTTTTTTGTTGTTGTTGTTTTTGTTTTTTTTTCTCCTTCCCACCCTCTATTTTCATGCATAAGTTTTCATGATAAACAGGAAAATTCATGAATATATGGAGTGATACAGTGAGAAATGGAGGAGGAGGGGGAGACAGAGGGGTGAGGTGAAGGAAGAGAAAGAGGAGTGAACAGTCAAAGCCAAAGAGTGAGCCAAGACTGAGAAGGAGTTATGTAGACAGCAGGATGCTCGCGCACACATGTACACACACAAACACACAAGCAGATGCAGTCACATACATTTACACACACGCGGCTTCGCATTGCAGGCGAAGCGGGGTCCTCGTGCTGTTTGACAGGAGGCAGCGAGTCCCCAGAGCAGCAGGTACGCATGGCGATGGCGATGATGATGATGGTTGTGGTTGTTAGCGTGCCGGAGTCTGTCCTCCTCTTGCTCCCCTGGTCCCTCCTGCTGCAGCCGCTCCTCATCAGTCGAGAGGAGAGTCCGACCCCTTCTAATGACTCCCATCGACACTGATGCCCACCATAAGCAGCCGGGGCAGGAAGAAACAAGCGTGAAAGTGAGATCATTATTATTTTCATAATGTTTTGTGCTCTCAGTTGGACCCCTGGCGCATCGCCGCGTCGCCTGCAGAATGGTAATGAAATTGAGTCTGAGGAGTGTTTTAGGGGTGGAAGAGGAAAAGTTTATATCAAAGTGTGCAAGTTATAAAGATCACTTCACCAAAACTACAAACAATATCTTTTCTCACTAATCTCAAGTGGTCTCTTACGATCCAGACTCTTTTTTTTCAAGTGCCAGACATTTACAACATCTGCCTCTTAGCTGGAGAACAATTTCAGGGAACCTCTTTTTCAACACTAGACTTATAAATAAAATTTAAATAAAAAGTACTGCTTACTAGAAAGAGCTATACTTTATAAAATCTCTGGCAAGATACTTTTTTTTTCAAAGAGACTGTTTAGGAAAAAAAAATTCTGAAAGTAATTTCTGGAAGCGATGAGGCTACAGGTTTAAACAAATATCCTGCCTGTTGATTAAAGATGTGTAACTTTAAGTACTGAGAAAAAAAAGTGTCCAGAGTTGATTCCAAAAGTTCGACCATAAATGTGTTTAAATGAAGACTATTAAAGTTAAGCGGGATTCATCGTATTTATTAACTGCATGTTTAAAATTCAATTATTTTGCACTTGGAAACAGCAAAGTAATTCCCACTTGTGTCTTTGAGAATCATATGACTGCAATGAAATGCGCTTAACAATGATGGTTTATGGATTAAATCTTAAAATAGATGCTGCACTGCTACACCAGTTTGGTCTTAAACTGTTAACTACTATACTGTATGCAATGTCAGATCAGTGGCCTTATAGCGTCCGATGATCCTTGGTCAATGCAACAGTATTTCAGGGTTACAGTGTGGGCTGTGTCTCATGGTCCTGTAGCTGTGTGGAAAGTTGTCCCTTGCAACAGTAAGTGATGAAACTGCATGGTCTCAACATGAAAACCTGAGGACAGACCTTTAGACCTGAACCTGCAGTCAGATGCCACTCTTTCAGCTTGGGTCTAGTTTCATCCACAGGTCTGTGGTGACTTGCACCTCCTAATCAGTGCTGTGACAAGTTGCGGTTGCTTAGCTCATTGGCGGTCGCTTAGAGTCAAATTACATCTGTGATAGTTTTCATCTATTTCACAAAGTACATATTATTTCTGGCTTGTCAACTGAGCTGTCTGGGAGTTCTTTTTGGTGAAATGTTGCATACAAAAATGCAATGGTGTTATTTTCCAGCACAGCGACAGCAGGGGCACGAGGACGCAACCATGGCTTGACTACAGCATGCAAACGGGGACTAAAAAACATGATTAAAAAGAATTAAAAGACCCTCAGTTGCATCACGATCGATATGTAAACACTTCTGAAATCTGTTATCAAGAATTCTGCCTTGTTTGCTGGTTAAAATACTTTGAGATGTGACGCTGAAAGGCCTGTGAAGATGTTACAAAAGGCTTAAAGAGTATTGAACCAGTTGAGAAACAGGCTGAAACTGATACTGACGTCTCTATGTTACATATTCAGGGTCAGTGATTGGTCTTGTTGTTGTTGTTGTTGTTGAAACACAGTAGGAATTATTTTCTGTCAGAAGAAGGAAAGGACAAGAGAAGAGGTGCTGCTTAGCCCACAGGGAGCGCTAAAACCAACACAAACCAAAAGTTCCTCACAGCAGCTTAAAGGTTCCCCAGCTCACCTCCATTGTATTGGGATGGATCTCACACTAAAGATCGTGAAACCCAAATTAACTTCCTGTCAAGGGACAAGGATGCATATTTAGTAATGTAGGAGACAGACTCTAACAGTCTCTCTTTTTTGTGTTTACTGAGGAACCAGCCTGAGCCCACGCTTAAGAGTGCGCAGACTTCCAGTTATGTATGAAAATGTCTAAGTGTGTCTCTGGGTGTGTGTGTGTGTGTGTGTGTGTGTGTGCGCGCATAAGAGCGAGTAGCACATCTCATTAGGCCTGAGCGGTGCTGTTGTCTGTGAGGGTACGAGAGTCCACACGGCTCCGTCTCTGTGGGATGTTTATTAAATTAATAAAAAGTTGCTCAAGGCGAGCTGTACCAAAGAATGCCCAGGGCTCGGCTGTGATTGGCACTCTCCGCCGCCCCGCGTTCTCTCCAGGGTGCGGCTGCGTTTGCTTTAACTAACTGGCCGTGACTTAGGAGAGCAGGCTGACATGAAGCCCCTCTTCTACCCTCCCCTCCCTCCATCCATCCCCCCCTCTTCTCTGTCTGATTGGGCCTTGTTTGCTTTGAATGGAAATGCAAGAAATCAGTGACAAAAGACAAAGAAACCTCCAGCTGATTTCTTGTTTTGACAACAACTACTGCCGGCTAATTGTTTTTAAAAACCTCATTTAACTTTATAGGATCTTAAAATTTGTCTCAACAGACCGTTGGTACACACGCCATTAAAAATGGACTGTTACTACCAAGGTCTGAGTGCAAAAAGCAGACGTTTTGGGGAAATCTGTTCCTAACTGTCCATCACAATAAAATTCAGAATCTATTTTGGTGAATTATTTAATAATCCCTTGTTGAAGTTGCAGTTTTTCGAGGTTGGAACTACAACTATCACCCAAACCATTTTCTGTGCTTGTAAATGCTCTTTTTTTTATCAGAGCTGTTTTGGAGCTCTTTGGGAATTTGTTTCTCTGTGTTAGAGAGATTAATCATTTTCTTTAACTTTAATTTAGATCAAAGAAAGAGCTCAGTTTTTTTAGAGACCTACTGCTGGTTATTGGTATCGGTCTTTCCCCTGTGAAATGAGCCAGTTAAGAAGAAGACTGGTTAGTCTGGGAAGTGAAAAATCACCCAATAAGTCCTTTCCTATCAATGTCATGTGACTCTGCTGCGGTAAGACTTTAGTTTACTGTGCATGGACTACGAAAAAGGGTGGTGTGTTTTAACCATGTTGTTTCATTAACTATGACCTCAGTCAGCTTACTACAAGTTATATATCAACCATCAGCTGTTGTGAAAATCTGCAAACACTTGTTAGGTCTGAAAGTTGTGTTGCTCCCTTCCTCTTCCGTTTACGTGAACCTTAAGTCTGGTCAAATGATCAAATGAAATCAGCTCCAATCAGCTGCTCTTATGTCAGTTGTTTATTGTCTCTTATGGCTGAGAGATGTGTCACAGTAAATACTGCTGTCTAAGGGAATAGTTGGTCATTTCCTCTTCCTTCCTTGTTTCAGAACAGGTGTTACAGACATTTTGACTACACAAACTGGAGCAGCTGTCGTATTTCTGACAGACCGGTGGGGTGACGAATGCCTTACGGTTAACATGTCAAATACAGCAAAGCGTGCAACCTGAAGAAGATGCTTGAAGATCAAAACTTAACTTAGCATGAAGAGTAATGGTAATTTTTTATTTATCTATTTTATTTATTTATTATTTTTTTATCGAGCAGTTGTTCTCACTTCCCTGGATTTTTTTCAGCAGCGCCTGTAAAATAAAATAATTAAAATATAGAAAAACGTTCTCATTGTCTCATTGGACCTCTTTAAACCATCGTTTTCACATTTGAAGTTTTGCTTAAAAACAACTGATGAGACATGAAAAACAATATTTATATATATATTTAACTCTGACCAAAAAATAATACGCCTTGTGCTTTCACAACACAGTAGACATATCGCAACTGCACCCCTCTTCTTGGTTCTGACTGTACTGTTTTAAGGCCCAGAGTGTCCTACGATAAAGGAGATAATAAAGTGATAAACAATACTCTTTTCCTCATGATTTGGAGAATTCAAACAGCTCTAACCATGGCTGACACTTAAAGACGCCTGTGTTTAAGTGAGGGTTAGGACTCTTCCTGAGTAAAAAGGACGATTTGAACAGACCCCCAGGTTTGTTGACCGAGAAAAGGGGAACCAGACAAGAAGCGGAGGTCATGAAAGGAAGGAGTTTTTCCATCAATAGAAAATAATCAGACGGTTAGAGGAGGAGGAGACTCCTGAGGGGGAGATGAGTCTTGTTTGTCAAAAAAGGAAAAAAAAGAAAGTCATTATACAACCATTTCAAACTTCACACAAACACTTTATTTAGACTACCGGCATTATGTTCCAATTAAACACAAAAGAAAAGTCATGCATTTCAAACTCTTCAGAGAATCTGCATATTTCCTTTCAGGAAAAAAAGGGAAACAAAGGGAAAAATTAAAATATATTATCATCTTTTAAAAATCCTTTTAAAAATAAACAAGACAAACACAAACAAAACACAACAAAAAAGCCCCACTCTGTCTCTTTCACTTTATATCTCTCCGTCTCTCTCACTCTCTGCAGCTCGGCTGGCCGACTCTCTGAGGAGGAGGAAGCTGAGAGAACTCATTTGCATATAAACTGTGAGAGGCAGGGATTGTCATCGGCGGCACATTAGACGCAAGCAGCGCGAAGGGAGAGGATTTTCATGTGCAAATTTCAGCCTCGCCAACTCTCTGCATTATTATTTCATCAGCTCCTAAGAAGGAAACCCCTCCGATCCCAAAATCCCACCATCATCCCCATGGACACTTCAAGATTCAGACCAAATCCCCCCGCCGAGCCTCTTCCCCAGAAGGCCCCACTACTGGGTAGCTGTTTACACCGGGGCCCACAATGCAGGAGGAGTCAATCCGCCTTAGAGACGGGCGCTAGATCAGATAAGAGGGAACCGCAGGAAGAGGGGAACAGATATACACCAGTTGTGACCAGCAATATTGGTGTTCCTTGCATTAATTGCTTGTAAACTGCGAGGCTGGAGGCTTGCTGGCTTTCAAGTTTAAAAAGGAGATTACAGCCAATTAGCAGGGCCTCTGAAAACCCTTTACCGCCTAGGGAATAGCTGCTGATCCCTAATGTGGGACAGCTGTGAGCAACAAAGGAACAGTCGCAGTCCTGCTTTTGAAAACACACTT